CTCCTTTTTGTAACAAAATTGCAACTAAAGCAGAGTGGATCTCCGCTTACTGCAGCATCACAAAATCTACTGCATGTCTGTATGTCCTGGAAGAGTCACTACTCTGTTTGGAGAGTTTTTCTTTGTCCTAATCAATAGGACTAAGGACAGAGTGTGTCTAAGGCTGTACAGAGTGTAAAACCCTTGAAACCAAATTTGTCAATTTGGGCTTTTATAAATAAAATTGACTTGTGTGATGCAGAAGAAAGCTTTCTCTCGCTCTCAGTGCCAAAAGTCCATTTGTCTACAACTTCATTTTCATGTCACGATCTTCGTCGGTTAAGCCCATAAACACGACATTAACAAGTGACTATCAGCTTTATGTTCACAATAAAGAGGGACCAAAGAACCAGACGCTGTAATGATGACTCCCATTCATTAACTTGTTGTGGAAAACACATCATTTACTGTGTAAATTATTTATGTGTTGACACTAACAAGCAGTACAGATACATTTATTTTGACTCTATGTTCGCCGGCTCTTTATTTTAATCTGCTCTACTTTCCAGTGATGAGAACGGTTAGCCATAAACACCTGTGGTTTGTGGTCATTTCCGATTCGTCAATTCAGGTCAAATTAGTCAAGCCAAATTTTACTGAAACAGCCCAAAATCACAAATCACATTTTTATATGAATAAATCACACTGGATTTGAAAACTCTGTGTTCTTATAAACATGACACCATTTCTATTAGATTATTAGATTATTAATAGACACCTTTAATTAAAGTAAGCATATTTAAAACTGGGTTTCCTGCTCACGCAACACTAATGTGACTATATGGCCGACTAGCTCACTAAATAGGGTGCTCGTGTTCGTTATGACCGACCTAAATATTAGACAAACATTCATTTCTTGCTTTATTTAGTTTTAAGACAACATCTAGCGTACAAGATCATCACTGTCCCGACCGGGCAGGGGTCTGGGGCCTCATGTTGAGAACCACGTGGCAGCTTTGTGTCACATTATCGGTCAGTTATCACAGTCTGTCCCTCTCTGGAGAATACACACACTCTCTCTTTCGCCCGTCCCCATACAAGACTATCAATCACCAATCAATGATGACGGTCCTGTCTATTCTGCTAAGCCATATTGATCTTGTGCCCCATATTCATGTCCATTCTGTAGACGCTCCAGACGTTAGACTCGTCCTTTAAGAGGTCAGGAGATAAATGGCTGAGAGGAGAGAAATATGGCTGGAGATTGAGAGATAATGTTGTTTGTAATGTGCTTTTATTTCCTGTTTTTTTTTCTTCCTTTTATAAAAGAGCCATGAAAAGCAATAAAAAAGCTTCTTAGTGAACGTATCTGAACAGAAAAAGAGACTTATTTTATTTATGTTATAACTCAACTGCTGAATAAGTACCCCATCTCCTCACACTGTCAGGTCAAGTCAACTTTATTTATATAGCTCATTATCACAATCCCACATTTACCTAAAGGGGCTTTAAAGGTCCACTGTGTAACATGTGGTCTATAATCACCTGAAAATAAGAATCGTGTTTTTGTTACCTTAGAATGAGCAGTTTTTATCTACATAGGGAGCGGGTCCTCTTCCCCAGTCCGCAGTGATGAACCACCATGTTTCTACAGTAGTCCAGAGTGGACAAACCAAACACTGGCTCTAAATAGACCCTTTCTTGTTTTTCGTGAATTTTGTGACCACCGTAGTTTCTCCTACTTGCTTGAAAAGTCTTTAGGTGTATCCAGATGGTTTGCAATCTGCAACTTTACTGTTAGATACCACTAAATGACACAACACACTGATCCCCTTAAATCTGCACAGCTGTCCTTAGACAAAAGAGAAAGATGGAATAGCCACACAAGGGGAATCCCTCTTCAGGACGGACAGACAGGAAATAGACCAACATAATAAAATTACAGAATGAACAATCAGGATGACACAGTTATAGATAGACTGCAAACATACTTGAAGAATATGGATCTGGGAGGATGCGGAGCAACGTCAGGCTTCACCAAGCAGACCTGAGTCACATGACCTCCCCTCCACCATGTTCACCATTCACACACAGAGCAGAAAAAAAAAGAAAAGAAAGAGAGATTGGAGGAAATCCCAGGATGGTTGATGGTCCTGCACAGAGAGAAAACAACAAGGAGGAGAAACTCGGGAGAGAGAAAGAGATGGATTCATTTAGAAGGAAGGATAATGGTAACAGATCTTAAGTAATCAAAGAATAAGCAACTAACTGAAAGATGACTTTTAGGTTTGGATTTAAAGCCCCTTCAGGCCTCTCTGTGACTGCCTCTCTTTGTCCGTGTGGCTCTCCCTCCAGCTCTAGAGGGTCCTCTAGTGTTGGCTTTATGACAAGGCACAATAACAGACGGCATTAACAGGTTTAAGAGAAGATCAGCCTGCTGTCAGTTAAAGGGACAGATAAAGTTATACATACAAAGTCAAAGTGGAATTAAAAAAAAAGATATTTTTACATCTTTACCATCTTACAGTACAGCAGCACTGCAGTACATAACAGCGGCTCTAACTGTTTGTTGTCACAGCTTTTGATTTAGTTGGATGGTCATTAGGAAGGTGGCGGGTTGTGTGTTTTCTTATTCTTATATTTAAGTTTCTTTCACTCAGTGTTGGTGACTTTTAATCGACCTCATATAAAACAGTGGAATACCAAGTAGAAGCTTGTATCACTGCTAATGCATATTGATTTTAAGTGATTAAAATAGTGTTCATATTAGTATTAGTATTTATATTATTGCAGAAAAACAGGTTGAGAACGCTCAGTTGCCAGTTTATTAGCTTAAAGTAATGCAGTCCTGCAGTAAGTCCTTCACAAAAGTTATAGAGTTCAGTTTTTGTTCCTTCACCTTCAGCTACTAGGTTTGTTAGATCCTGTTTGAGTCTTAGTACTGATCTTCACATTGTAGGTTACAGGTCAAGTTATTTCCCCTGGTAATAGGAACACACAGAACAGCAAATAGTAGACTGTCTTTCTCCTACTCTCCTCCACTAAAAAATCAGTTTTTCTTCTTGTTGGACGTTTGATCTTCACTGAGCAGAATGATGTCTGTGCAGAGTTTGACACTAGAATGATGTTTTCACATCAAGTTTTTTGAAAGTGGAAAGTTTTTCTGTTCTCATGGGAATCAGATTTTCTACGAACGTGATTTGTGACAGTCCTTTCACAACAAGATTGGGTTGTAGTTATCTTCTTCTCACAGCGGGAGGGAAGGAACAGATGGCAATACAATATCACAATGAAACAGTGATGTCTTAATGATACAAAGGTAGTTCATAAGTGAATGAAAGACCTTCAAAGTCAGTAATTACAATAATAGTAGTTTATAGATGCACAAATACAGCCGTCTTGCAGTGTCCTCCAGCAAGCTAGGGAGGCATAGTCTGCTGACCCATATCAGTCCTGCTCCAGTCCCCCAGTCCTTCACTCCTTAGTGGCATCAACCAGACTTCACCTGTTTATATATTTTTAAAAATGCTCAATGTGCTGTGGTAGTAGCCTTGTTTTTCTACTGCAATGTGAATACGGCATCACAGGAACAAAGAGGACAGCTTCAAGACATCACAGATCTCTGTAGGAGAAGAAAGCTCACAGTAATGGAATAAAAATGTGGTTTAATATTTCCACCCTAAAAATCTTTCCTCTCCTCTCCTCTCTTCTCTCTCGTACTCTCCAGAGAACGACAGGCCAAGCTCTCTGGTGTTGGAGGTGATAGACTACAACATGCCTCTCACCACCACCTACATGAAACAGATGAAGCTGCAGTGTATGAGCAACAACAAGGTACGTGAGGTCACTGCTACAGAGCTGCATGTTAAACACTCTTTCTGACTCTGGGCTCCTGTGTAAGGCTGCAGTGCCACATCCTCTGTTTTTGTCCGTGCCAACAGAGAGAATATATGTGCTGTGTGTGTTTTTATGCATCCTGAGAGCACAAGTATTCCCTTGAGAGTGGATCATGGAGTAAATCTTGACACTGGCAACTGCTTTAAACCAGCAGGTTCTTTTGTACACTCGATTGTTTATGACAGGCGTGTAGGAGGAAACCAGGAGGCCCACTAATGCCTTGGTTGGAAGAAAACTCCCACACACCGTCTTGCAATTAAAACACTATAATGAGAAGAAATATGAGTATTTCAGTCTGACGCTGGTGGAGGTCAGTGGACCGAAACCATTTCTTCTTATTAAGTATGAGACAGTGCTGTTTTTTTATACAGAATTTACATATAACAGAAAACACATTTACACTTCCACAGATGTGAACAAATGTCCAAGAAAAGAAAATCATCATCACATTTTTTTTATTTATCTGGATCAAACAGGTTTCTGATGTATACAGAATTAGATGAACTGGTTTTGCAGTCAATAACTTGGCAAACATGTAAAATATTCTAAGTGTATGTAATTTACCATTTTCATTAATTAAACATAGAGTCCATACAATGCTGGAAAATGCCCAAGTGCATGCCTTCAAATATATTCTGTATATGAATATTCTGTATTTCTGTTTACAATTACGTACTTGTCGATTAATCTTCTGTTTATCGGCTTGTTCATTAACTAACAGTAATATGTTATGTCACAGTAGTGACCACACTAAGTGTTAGTAAGTGAAAACAATCAAATCAAGGTATATCAACATATCAAGTCCTCCAAATGAAACAAAACAACATACATTGTTCGTCTGTGCCCTCTATCAGGACCAAATATTGTGTCTGTGGCTTCCCCAGACTTGTTAGAAACCACTATTGAAAATAAATGTTGTTTTATGGTTAAGGTTTGGTTGGGATTAGGAACAAACATGACTTTGGGTAGAAAATTGTGTAAAAAAACCAACTTCTTTACATTTTGGGCATGCCCCCCTCCAGAAGCCAAAAGTGTTTTTTATATAATTTTTTTTAGCAATCATAAACAATGACAGGGGAACCAAATCTAATAAAAATGATCCAAGATAAACTTTATTGAAATAAAGTTCAGCTCATGTTCTACTTCATATTTTCCCCTGTTCACCTATGCCTCAACTGCAGTGGCTCTATGCTCCACCAGTGGGACCGGCACCAGAGTTTGAGAACCTCTGAGTTAGGGGACGTTGTCATGATGACAATAAGTGCCTAATAAGTTAGGGACGATTGTGGTCATAGTTAAAGAAACCTACGGGGAAGCAAACTGAGAGTTGTATCAAGGTCGGATGTGTTAACTCATTCATCCGCCCAACCTACTTCCTCCTTTAATGGACAAGAGTCATAATTGCTACGGCTGCTAGAGGACGGTTATTTCAATGTTAATGCGTCATTTTGGGGCACTTGCTGAAATGAATGATGCTATGTCTTACTCTGGAGGTCAGCCTCAATCATCATGATGCAAAATCCAATATTTTGTCAATCAATCCTCTGGGTTCTGGTTGATCTGCAACGTTGCCCACAATTTGATATTAACTGAAGAGATAACGAAGTAGAACCAGAATAGAAAAACCAGAATCAATAGTTGATCTGTTCTGTTATCGCTCAAGCCCAACCTGGTACGGGCCTCAAGTTCTGAGTGTCGCATCTGGAGTAAAACTGTGTGTTGGAACAGCTGGAAGAGTCCTGAGGTAGTGAGGAACATCAGCTTCTTCTTCTCTTGTGGCCAGTGCTGTGCCGGCTCAGCTGTGAGTGTATGTATGAGTGTGTGTGTGTGGGTGGGTGTGTGTGTGGGTGTGTGGGTCGGGGGTAGTGATTGGTATATTCCATATTGTTCCCACAACACAACCACCACTCCACCCCGTACCACTGTGACTATCAGTTCCACACACTCGCTGTCAGTCATATTCCCTGTAAGTGTGTGTGTGTCTGTGTGTGTGTGTGTGTGTGTGAGTGTCTAGATAACGGGTGGGGGAACAGAGGGTTGAGCTCGTTCCAATTAAGCCAGGCCCCTGAGCGTCAAGTTAATTAGCTGAGGAGAGAGAGAGAAAGAGACACTGAAGTGCCAATTTACACTGGAATGCCAATATATCTTCCAGTCTGTCTGTATGTCTGTGTTTCTGTCCAAGACACACACACACACACACAAATACACATACAGACAGCCTCTTAAAAACACATATGCAGTTCAATACTTTCACCTCTCTCCACACTTATTTTGTTGTTTTGTTCTTTCTCGCACATACACCCACACTCAACCACACACACACACACACACACACACAACAATCTCTGTGGCTCCTGTTATTCTCTAACAGTTGTACCTGTCTGTTTGGCGACACCATGTCAAAGCCATTCTAATTAGTTCACACTGACGTATTGAAACGATTCTCATTATCACCTTTGTGGTAGAATCCAAAGTACAAAATGAAATATTGTTTTTCTGTTAAGGTGAGCATTGTTGTTCATGTTATTGTTTATTTTATTTAAAAACAACTTTTCACTCTTTTTCTTCTTTTAGTTCTCCGTCGTACTTCTCTCCATGTTATGTCAGCTTCAACGGGGAAGAAAAGTTAACGATTTTCAAAACGCTGTGAGAACTAATGCTGCTAATCGTTGTTTGCAGTTTAATGATAAAGGGACTGTGCTCTGAATGTCACTTGAGGATCAGAGTGTGTCAAAGTGTCTAAGATGTAAAAAGTTGCAACACAAACAGAAGAGCTCTACATCTGTCAGTGTTACTGTATTGATCTGCAACACAGCCTTTGAAAGATAAATAAAATATGCCTGTGCTGTTTGCAGCCTACAGCGGTTAAGGGTTGGCTGAGGATCTTGATCAATAATACGCTTTGATTCGCAGATGCCGTGTGCCAGTATTCAGCATCTTTCACTGAGGGTCAAATTATGAGGTTGTTATTATGCCAGAGAGGATTCATGTCAGTCATGGTTAAACTCCTAAACAGCATTAGAGCTTTAAGACAAGTAAATAAAAATGTGCAAAGAAGTTTTTTATTTTTCAGCCTATCCCCGACCTATCATGGCAAGATGGACCAGGCATCTCCTTTGAAATCGCTTTGAGTAGAACTGCAAGATAAATACATAGACATGGACTTGCAAAGACAAAAATAAAGCAAACATGAAATAAAAACGGTACTATAGTTACCGCTATAGAAACTGTAACTTTAAAAAGCTATAAATGTCCTAGTATCAGTAAACAGCATGACTGGTATTGAATTTTTATTATACTTCATTCTCGTTGCCTGTGTGTAGTTTGTAGGAACTAATGTAAAATTCACATAAAGTTGTAAATACTTTAAATATTTTATGTTTATAATCAAACCAATAAACTACTGTAACTGTTGTTAATGTAAAACGGACTTTGTTGAAGATTAAAAGGTCTGTGCATGAATATCATGTCAATTAGAATAAAGTGCCACGCTAACCGAGCAGATTCACTGCAATTAAGATTTATTTTCTGCCCAATTGCACATCTTGACCTGACAAAATATAGAATTCTGACTCCAATATCTTAAGTATATTTATTTAAGAGAGTTTTAGTTACATAACAAAACCTATTTTAGCATTAAGTGGTGTTTAAACACGTAATAAATGCTGTATAACACACTATAATACAGTTGTAAGGAGATGTTTATTAATGTACTTACCCATAGGTTGAGGCTGGTGTATACACAGAAAATGTGACAATATATTAAAATACATGTTTTCTTGGGAGAATATATAATTGTATAATTGTTGACCAATACATTATATCAATAAACAATTAATTGTCTTCAAACCTAAATATAAAAACAAATACTGAGAAAAATACTGAGAGGGGATCCTTTGAGACAAATTATTGGTTGGTGGTCTAATGTGAATCTATTGTGGGGGTCCTTCGCATTAAAATTTGGGGACCCCTGTATTAGATGTTTATATACTAATTATAAATGATAAATAGGACGAGTTAATGTAAAGAGTTACCAGAATTGAAAAATGGCCAATAAATGTCATTCAATAGTCATTTTTAACTTTTCTTTAAAGAATTGTGAACAATATATTTGCTAATCAGTTAAAGGATGAACTTGTCGCTGCTCTCTGGTGGACCAACAGTGTGTTTCTAAATGACCTCAAACATAAACGTAACATTTCTGTGCTGTGTGAGACATTAGTCTAGCTTTACTTAAAAGTTCTCTTAAGAGAATTCTGTTGCTGCTGATTTCTTTTGGATGTCAACTTTTAAACTGTTCTGTTTCTTCACCTTCCCACCTCATCCACCTCCACCGAAACACTCTTATACACATTTGTCAGACCAGACTCTTTTCAATCATGTGGCTGGAAGAGTTGAGGGTAAAGTTTTAGCAGACAGCTTAGATTGTGTGTGTGTGTGTGTGTGCGCGTGTGTGTGTGTTTGTGTGTTTGTGTGTGTGTGTCAGGATGAGACTGTGCTGCAGAAAGATTATAGTGTTCGGCCCAGAGGAGCAAAAGTACAGACAGGAATAGAGGAGCAATGACTCACTCACCTATAGAAAATAACATAGGACATGAGGGAGCATTAGGTTCAGTGTGTGTGTGTGTGTGTGTGTGTTAGGGGAAGCAGACTGAGTGCAGGATAGGTGAATAGCATTGCATTCCTTGAAATAAAGGTAGCAGTCTTTTGTCTGGGTTGTTTTTATGAGGAAGAGAATGACAGAGGATGAGGGGAAAATGGGAGAAAAGAGGAGAGAGGATCATCTGTGCTTTCACTCGACAGAGAGGGAGAGAGAGCGAGAGAGAGACAGAATGAGTCAAAGGTAGACAGAAGAAGAAGAGAGGAGCATGTAGTGCATATTTGTGATGTGTGAATCCACCACCGGCTCCATTAGCACTCATCCCAAGCCTCCGTTC